GCCGTGGTGGTGGGGGAGCCGCTCCTCCCCTACGCCTTGGGCTTCGCCGCCGGCGCAATGATCTACGTGGTGATGGACGATATCATCCCCGAGGCACAGACCAGGTGAGACCGGGACCACCGCTAACGGCAGGGAGGCACGGGGGGAAGGGCAGGGGGCCCTGGAAGACCCCTTCCCTTGCCCGGATGAGAGATAAAGCAGCGCTTCCCTCATCCAAAAAGTCGCTCCCGGCTCCTGGGAGCTCACGCCCTCCCTTTTCTCCCCGCAGCGGCAACGGGAAGCTGGCATCCTGGACCTCGATATTAGGATTTGTGGTGATGATGTCCCTGGACGTTGGGCTCGGGTAGGGCAGCGCGCCGCTCCCCGGGAGAAGGCTTCGGAGCAAATCGTGCGGCGGCGTTTGGAACTGGACACGCGTTATCCTCTAGACTTTTTTTTGTATATATATTTTTCTTTTTTTTTTTTTTTGGATCTGGTTTGGTGTTGATTTCCTATAATTTTATATCTCTTCCTCCCCTCCAATGTCCTGTCGATGGTTTTCAAAGCACAAATACGAGTGGTTCCTCGCGGGTCCTGGTTTCCTTTCACCACCAGATTTTGTTTTCCCCTCGGGGGGGTCGTCGGACGACGCGTCGGCTGGGCTGCAGGTCACCCCGTCCTTTCCCTTCCGCGCTGGGCTGGTGTCTGCGAGTCGGGTCGCTCTGGGTTTCGATCGTCTTTGTTCTGTAGAAGATTAGAAATTCACTCTCCCGTGTTTAAGCTGGTCTGTGGTTAAGGACCAAGGCGTTCGAACGGAGTCAACGCCTTTCGGCGTCTCGATTTCCAGGCCCTTTTTCCGAGGCGGGTGGAAGGCACTGGGGCTAAGATCACACCTACAGCCCCCTGCGGGACCGCGGATCTCCTGTGTCCTGCTGGTCCTTGGGAACGTGTTGGGCTGTTAGTGCTGACGGATGCAAATAGTCCAGGCAAATAAAAATGCATTTTCTTGGGATCGCTGTAAGAGGGAAATGTCATTTTTTCCTAAATTTATCTCCTAAGTGGGGCATTGATCCAATGGGTTGTGACCAATAACCCGAGTTGTTCTCTGGAAAAAAAAAAAAAAACAAAAAACAAAAACAACCAAAAAACCTGGCAAAGAAGAATTTTTGTGTTTTCTAGCATGTACTCTTTGCAAAGGGAAGGTGTGGTCACCCGCGTCGCCCGTGATGTGCAGCAGGATGCGTTTGCACGGGGGCCCGGGACTGTGCCTGGCCACTGCTGCTTTACGCCTGCCGGTTCCAACGGTTGGGAGCCCCCCAGGAGCCAGCGCGGGTTTTCCCCGGTGGTGGCCCTGGGCGCACTTCACCCTGCAGGAGAGCTCGGAGCTGAGCCAGGACCCGAGCGTGCCGGCAGCTCTCGCCTTCCTGAGTAGCATCAGGATGAAATAATTCATCAGGGGGAATTAATTATCCTACCTGGAAAGCCAGAAGCGCGGGCCCGCCTCTTTGCCCTCTGCCTTTCAAGCACCTCTTATCATAGAATCGTCTAGGTTGGAAAAGATCACCAAGCCCAACCAGTCCAACTGTTAACCTAACCCTGCCATCCCACCACTAAACCATCCCTCTGCTGATTTGGTGCTTTGGCTGCAGAGGTTGTCCCACCCTGTTTCCTTACCTCTCCCCACTTCCAAATCCTCTCTGCGTTCCAACATGCTTTGGGGATGGTTGCTCATCCACTGTGTTTGCTGGTGCCATTGCGAACCATTGCACAAACGGGAAAAGTAAAACCGTCTGAGATGTGGCGACCTTTGCTTCAGCTGTATCATAGGAAAAATGTCTCCTTATGGCTGCTTGGAATGTTTTCCCGTAAAAGATCTTTTTTTCTGATGCTTCTTCTTTGGCAGGCAGGGGAGGGGGATTGGATTTCCTTTGTCCTTCATTTGTGTGTCGCTCTGGATGGTACAAAGCTACTGTTTGCCGATGGATTTGACCTTTTAACTGTGATTGGTTTCAATAAATGGGAAATTCAGAGTTTGCACTGATTTATTTTAATGCCGTAAAGCCGAACCTTTGCTTCTCCTCCCTCCGCTCTGCGATATTTCTTTTCTCCGGCTTATTTGTTCCTGGCTTGTCAGATGTCCTGCGTCTTGACCACGAAGGAAGAGAAAAAAGGGGAGGGGGGGGGAAAAAGGTGAAGAGAGGCAGCTTTGCAGTGCCTCATCCAGGCACCCGTGCGCGCGTTTTTGCTGTTCACTGGGTTTGCTGCAGCCGCCCCCGTCCAACGCCTGGCACGGGTTCCTGCCTCACGCCTCAGAAAAAAGCAACCGCAGGAAATCCCTGGGGGGAAAAAACCCCAAAAAAAAGCAGCTCGGCCCGCACCGATGTGGGGGTGCAGGTACTGCGGTCGCAGAGGGGGTGCACGCAGGTCCCCGGGGCGCTGCGGTCTGGGGGCATGGGGATGGGAAAGGGGGACCCAAGCGGTTCCCCCGTGGGAAAAGTGAGGGGTGTCAGGATCCTCCACTTAAACCCAGCAGGAGAGAGCTGTCCCTGGGACAGGGGGAGGGAAGGGACCTGCCCACGGCCGGGGACAAGCGCCG